TTAAACCAAAAATTACTAGAGCATTGTTTAAATCCAATCCCTGTGGAGACGATAATTTAATTATACTATATTTGGTTAGCGAGCATCAATTTCGTATTGTGTTTTGCGCTCGTCAAATTTTGGCGTCGTTGCCGGGGATAATCAATAGTGTTCAAAATAGTTTTTGGTGCTAATTCAGAAGTATATTTTATTTTATTCTTCACGGATTTTTCTTTCGTGTGCAGGCAACATGTTGACTTCTCTGGTGTATGACTCGATCTTCGTCAAGAGAATTGATTTCATACAATCCAGAGGTGGAAAAGTGCCTGCGACAATTGAGGAAAGAGATATAATTCACCGGAAAATTTTTGGGGCACCCTTCAACCCAAGAACACGTGGTTAAGAACGACAATGATGGGGTAGATTTGGCTGCAAGAGAGGTCGCACAACAAGAATCTTCAGGGATAGCAGCTGAGGCAGCCCTCGGAGCTATTGAGGACATTATTGAAGATGGCGGGGGTCGAATATTCAATCTAAACCGACCCTTGGTTGAAAAATAGCTCGAAAGTATGATACCCAGGCTTGGTAGAGCATTGGGTGATTATGCCAGACCAGTCTACAATCAGGGAATATCTAGTGTCAGACCTTTACACGTAGCAACACCTTCCAGTACAAGGGAGTGTCAAAAGATGAAGTCTGCTTAAGGGCATTCCCCTTTTCACTGAAGGATGACGCAAAGCACTGGCTTCGTAACTTACTAACTGGGTCGATCAGTTAATGGGAATATATGACTAAAAAGTTCCTTGACAAATACTTCTTAACTACGAAAACAGTGAAATTCAGAAGGGAAATTCACAACTTCTGCTAGAAGGACATGAAATAGTTTTCAAGGCTTGGGAAAGATTTAAGGAGATAGTGAGAAAGTGTCAGCATAATGGGATTGAATTGTAAATGCAACTCTAGAACTTTTGGGATAGACTGACACCCTCCCCACGACGAACTCTGAGTACTGCAGTTGGAGGTACTTTAATGAAAAAGACTCCTGAGAACATTGTTGCAATTCTTGATGAGCTCTCTGAAGATACTAACCAATGGCCTGTTGAGAGTAATGATAGAAGAAAATTAGCTGGGGTTCACCAGGTAGACCCTAACACATCAGTGCAAGCCCATCTAGACATCATGGCCAGAGAGATAAGAAAGTTAATATTGGCCAAGGTACTGAGTGAGTTTCAAGCATCATGTGACTTTTGTAGAATGGGACACCCTACACATGAGTGTCAAGCTTCAGTTGAAGTCGATGTTGTGGGGAGCTTTGATAGAGACAACTACCAAAGTGGCAACATTTTTAACTCCATGGGCAGAGGCACCCAGGTTTCTCTTGGAGTTCACCAGGTGGTAGTGCAAACGCATGGCAGCAAAATAACTCCAGACCCCAGGGACATAGAGCTCCAGGTTTTCAAAATCAACAGAGGCAGCAATATCATTCTCCACAGTCTAATCATTCTAGCATGGAAGATCTTATGAAGGCTTTTATTATTAAGACATATGAGATGCTTGAAACCCATGGCACAACTATTAGAGAACAAGGCACGGCCATTCGAAACTTGGAAAGACAAGTGGAGAAACTTGCTAATCTATTGTCTTAAAGGGTTTCAGGAACTCTCCCTGCTGATATTGAAAGAAATCCAAAAGAGACAATAAATGCAGTGTCTTTAAGGAGTGGGAACGTATTGGAGGATCCCAGGGCAAAACAACAGGATGAGCTGATTGAAAGAACGGTGGAGATTGTGGAGGAGCAGAAAAATGACAACATTCTAGAAGGTGCATAGATGGTAGATAATGGTCTGAAGAAAAAGGGGAAGACTAGAGCTCAGAAGAAGAAGAAGAAGAAGAAGAAGAAGAAGAAGAAGAAGAAGAAGAAGAAGAAAGATGATAATGCGATAAATGAGGAGACTGAAGAAAGTAAATATATGCATGCTCTACCTTTCCTACATAAGCAGAGAAGAGAGAAGCTGGACAAACAATTCGGGCCGCTTTCTAGAAGTGCTCAAGCATGTGCATGTAAATATACCTTTCATATAGGTGCTCTCACAGAAGCCAGCTTATGCTAAATTTTGAAGGAGATATTGTCCAAAAAGCGGAAAGTGGAAGAGACATCGGTTGTCAGGCTCACAGAGCATTGTAGTGCCATTATGCAAAACAAGCTCCCTCAAAAGTGTGGAGATCCAGGGAATTTTACTATACCTTGCTATTTAGGAAGTACTAAGTTTGAAAAATCTTTGTGTGATTCAGGCGCTTCTATTAATCTTATGTCTTTGTTTATTTTCAGGAAATTAGAGGGAAAGATTGGAGAAATCAGGTTGATACATGTGTCCTTCCAGCTGGCGGATCAGATCACAATCATACTTGAAGGAATAGTGGAAGGTGTGCTGGTTCGGGTGGAGAATAGGGAGGTCCCTCTGATTTTAGAAAGAACCTTCTTGGCTACTGGCAGAGTAATTATGGACATTCAGGATAGGCAGATCATGTGCGGAGTGGGGGAGGAAAGGGTAATCTTCAAGATGGAAGGAGCGAGGGGGTCCTAAAAGAGCAACTTAGAGAGAATAAAATTGATAAGTGTGGGGTGTACCCAAAGAAGGCAGAAAAGAAGCTCTCAGCATGGATGTGTGCACTGGTTGGGCGTCCAAAGGAGATCCTGACTTCAATTCAGACCCCGATTAGATGAATCAGAAAAGTTTTTTTTACCCCTTGCATTTTGTTTGTGTGTCACGGGGACATGCCACAACTTAAATTGTGGGGTGAGGGATGTAAATATGTACATGTGTGTTTGTTTTCATTTCTTTTGATTTGAAAAAAAAAATTGACTTTTCCCGACGATGGATTTCCTCGACGGTCTTCTTGAGGGATCAAAGTCGTAGAAAAAATAGTTTATTTTCTTAGGTAGTGCGACAACCCCCCCTTGATTGTTCTTCGTACCGCGGTTCTTTTCCAAGGGTTTTGCTTGAACCGGGTATAGTTAGTTTTTCTTTTATTATGAATAGTGAATTCTTGTGCTACGGTATTAAATGTAGATGACTTTTCTTAATGTTATTGTGCCTTGAGAGTAGTGAGTGCCTTAGTTGTGATGCCTAGACTCTGTTTTTGACTCATGTATAAGTGTCGCAAAATGTTTGATTTTAATGTTGCTTATCTGCTTTGACTAGAGAGTCAGGATTGATCCGATCCTGAATGAGTTATGTGCCAATGTGTGTGTGTGTGAGGTTATTGTTGATATTATGTGCACGTCGGTTGATGTCTAGAACTTGCTATGTGTTTGCAAAGCGAAATAGTAGTCTTGTTCAGTCTACGAAGTGATATAAGCATTTCTTTATTGAGCTAATTATATGTTTATGACCCGCCTAACTGTTGTGTATCCTAGTAGCCCCTTTGAGCATGTAATCCTACTTCTTTGGCAACCACACTACAAGCCTGATCCATTTTATTTTAAATTGACTATCCGTTTGAATCTTTTAGCTCTCTTGAGCACTTGATTTTGTTATGATGTAAAAGCTGAACTGAGGTATGGTCGGATTTTTGACTGGAACTATTGAAAAAGAAGAAAGGTGCACTGTTTGAAAAAATTGTGAGAGCCACTTGTAAAGTATTGAAAAAAAATGAGAAAGAAAAAATGTTGGTGTTTGTATATAGTATAAAAAAAATTATTCCTTGCTAGTGGTAAATCTTGCTTTGTTTGTACTTAAAGAAATTTGGAGCTTGGTGTTAATATGATGTGAAGGTTAGGATGTGGTTCAACACATGTGTGTGGTTTAAATTGTGAAATTGTATGTATTAAAGTGCTTAGGAAGGTGTAGTCACTATTATCCAAATTATATCTTACCCGTCCCGCATCCTACGTTACAACCAATTAAAGTCCCACTTGATCCTTGACTAAATGAGATTAATTAGTAGAGACACTATGGGCAAGCATATGGTGCGTCTTCTGCGGCACATGATTTTTAATTCTGAGAATGAGTGAATTATTTCTATCTTGAGTTCCTATGTGTTCTTGAATTTTATTGTGTGAGGAACTACTCTCTATCTTTGGTGTGGGGGCACATGATTTGCGACGAAAAGGTAATATCTTTGGTCTTTGAGTTGGAGTAAGTGAGTAGGTTTTGAAATACGTGGTGCGTGTGAGTCAAGTCTTGAGGCTATGATGTTATGATGTGGTGCTTAGTCTGCTTTAAACATTCTTGGTATGATGAGTTAGGGAAGTTGTCTGATAAGAAAGTCGTCTTTATGTGAAGTGCAGTTTGATTGCTGGAGGACGAACAATGGTTTAAGTATGTGGTGTTGATGGTAGGCTATAAACCTGTATTTTAGTCATAATTTACATTCTAATTACTGCATTTTACTTGTATTTGAGCTTGAATAATAGTGAATTGCACTTATTATGTATGTTATGCCTTGCAGAAAGTGATTCCGAGTTAAAAAGATAATCGGGAGCTTAATCGAATAAGTTGGAGCTTTGAAGTCTAAGTAAAAGCTCAAGGATTAAACCGGGATCGCGTTCGGGGGTCGAGGACCAAGTCAGGATAAAAAATTGAAGAAGCCGACAACGCGACAGTGCTTTGTGCTGCTGTATATCAGAAAGTGCCCCGCATGGGGCGGCGCATGGCGCGGTGCACATGTACAAAAATATCAAAGTATTTTTTTTGCTTCGACTTGGAAAGGATAATTTTATCCGGGTCCGTTCCTATACGGTATAAATACACCAAAAAGATATTTTTGAAAAGTCTTTTGCATTGAGTTGCAAGAAATTAAAATACTCGCTTTCAAGGAAAATGTTGCCTTTACTCAAGCCTAAGTTCCGAGAAGCCCTTTGTCATTTTGTTACTTGGCACATATATAGGAAAATTGAAATGACATTTTTAAATATAATTTAAGTTGTTAGGGGAAGAGAAACATTTTTGTCCAATAGAAAAGGTATGATATTTTATTTAAACAAATAAACTTATGTGAAGCTTTCCTTTTTATTTTCCCCTTAATTTTCATGTCTTGAACTTTCCCCGCTAATTCGTTTCCCGAAAGAGGGGAGATTGGAGTATCTCAAACGCAAGGAATACAGCTACGGGACAATCAATTCAATGGGCCCACAAAGATCTAGTCAGATCTGCCACGTCGCCCACACTCCAATTCGACAGGACTCCGAGTTTATAGCATCCAATAGCATATACCATATTCCCGCCGTTATACCACCACAAGCTACTGCAGCGCCACCACAGAAGATTCACCGCTTCACAACAATGGTGTCTCTAACTAATAACCAAATATTACTGTCTCTTTCACTGTCTTCCTCTCAAATGGCAACTCCGCGAGAATACAATCAGCTCGAAGTTAATTCTTACATCCGTCGGAGAGCTCATTCAAGGAAGTGGAAACTATGGAGTTCATCGCAGCCATTCAACTCCTCACCCTCTAGGTAAAACCTCCTACAGCTATTCATCGCGAAATTAGTATAAATACATACATGTTATACTCTATTTTTTTTTAACTATATAGATAGTGGTTGAGCTCAATTGCAACAGCTCCCTTAAATATATGCTCGATTTCATTTTATGGGCTTATTTTGCGATGGCTGTGTATTTTGGTTTTTGTTTTCTACTTCTCAAGGTGAGTGGAGGTTTGACATTTTGAGTGTTGCATTCTTTTTAATTGACTTTTTGCTTCCTTTTACTGTCGCTACCGACGCTGCCTATACATGTAAGCCTCAAAAGTATACTCAGGTCCTAATTTCGGACAGAGGAGAATGGTTGGGTGTAAATATAGTTCAATTATGATGAATATTGCATACTGCCCGAATAGAGCGGAATAAATAAACAGGATTCATTCAGTCGATCCTAATTAGTTTGGGATTTTCGATAAAATCCTACCTAATTTGGAATTGAGGGACGGCTATTTGATTTTTACTGTCACTACATCCATGGGAGGGGAGGGAAAGTGGAGTAGGTGGATGCATGGATATCTCTAAAATACCTTAATTTTCTTCCTTTTGCTGTCTAGCGCAACCTAATTACGTTAGTGTCCAATTTAGTGCGACCATATAGAATTTCATAGACACCTATACATTGTTTGAGTTGAATTTTCATGGAGACATCTTAGTTAATTTAATTTGTAATTTTATTGTATCTTTTTATGCATCAACTAGAATATTCTAAGACGACTCCTGTATAACTCCAAAACTGGAATTTAAGTGTAAACAGCTAATCAACGGGTTTAGTTAACTGAAATTATCAACGTATTTTGGTAACGGACCTTATATATGTGACAGATAGTTATCCATTCGAGTGTAGGATCAAAACATTTCAGCTTGTGACAGTGAGAGCTAAAAGTTATGAAGCAGGACAGTCAGAGGACGCTGAGGAGATATTGCATAAGTCTTCCAATAATTTACCTGGTAGTCCGGAAGGTAAAACTGTCCGCACAGGAAGTTCGTTTCTGGCAAAACTGGCAATAGCGCTGGGTATAGCTGCTACAATTACATTCCTATCCATAGGCCTTAAACAGCCTAATCAAGGATCAAATTTTGGGATTCAATATCTGGTTGATGGATCATCATCTTCCACAATTACTACACCTGCTTCTGGTTTTTCTTTCAAAGCTTTTGGCTATAGAGTCATGCTGCCAGAATATGCTCCAGGGTAAGCAACAGTTTTCATGCATCTGCAGCTTCATCATGACCTAAGCAGAAAAAGAGACCAACCTTTTGCTTAATATACTTTAGCTACCACTGTGGTAGATGCTAAAGAAATTGATATCCTGGATATCTTATCTATTAGCTTTATTTGGGATATGATATTAAGCCCCTGTACTTCTCATACTTCAGATGGATCTACTTTTGGCTTCTGATGGCAGCTGGTTGTGGATTTTTTATTAGCGAGGAGGCTTTGAATATATGGGTCTGTCTCCTATGCTGGTACTTCTGTTCATGAACTTCCCTGCTAACAAATCTTCTGTGTTGCAGATATTGTAGTTTTCCTACGATTATATTTCTTATTTTGATTTGACATTTCTTTCGACATTAACGACTTTAAGTTGTTCTTGTGATGTGAGGAAAAAGTAACAGGCCAAGTTGGAAAAAGAGTTAAAGAAGCTTTAAGCTTTATAAAGTTAAAAGCTAGAACCTTATCTTTAAAAAGTTGAAAGCTAGAAATATGCTGTTATATAGTGTCTTTAATAAGCACTAAGTTGGCTTGTTATCCTTCTTCATGACATTCATTATTAAGGTCAAATTCTCTGATGAATCGTGTAGGTTGGAGCCTCTATAGCACGAATGCTTGTTCTAGATGGAACGTGGCAATCGTTGGTGAACTCCTTTTCCAGAAATGCTCCATATATAGCATCCACTATTCTCTGGGTGTACTGGTTAGTAGAAACTGTCCTTTTGAGTTAATTTTCATGAATGCATGTGCATGTCAACCTCTCAAGATTCTGCCGATCGCACAACCTTCCTTTGCTACTACAATTCACAAAGATATTATGCACCTTCGGTGCTACTATATATTGTTTTTATAGAAACAGTTGTTACCACAATGTTAACATTATTGTGGATTCTGAATTTCAGGGGTGTCTGTATCAGCGATATGATACCTTTTTACCTTGGGAAGCTTTTTAAGCAATCTGGTGCGTCCAATGATGTTTGCTCAAAGGTTTGTTTTGGCTACTAGCATTTCGCGCATGTTAAGATATTCAGTCCCCTTGTATTATTTAAAAACATATAAACTTTACTTTTGGGAATTCAGATTCAATTTGGTTGTAGTTAGGGATCGGTGATGAGAAGGCAAGAGATATTACAAACGCTGTACAAAAATATGGGAATCTCATTGGTTTTGGTGAGTTCCAAAAGATATGCTGATTTACTCCAGTTATCTCTTGCCTTCTGCTGAACTTTTAATTATGAAACCTTTGTTTCCATTGATACTTGCATGCTTATAACTATGATCATAATGTAGCATCAGCATCATCACATCTCTATGTGATGTCTGAAGGAGTATGATTTAATTATTTGTTAAGATCTCTCTATTTTGTGGAAATATTAGATCAAAATAAGTGGTCTACCTTAAAATTTATGCTATGTCTTAAGAGGTTGTACTTCTGGTCCATCTTAACCCTCATGTCTATATGTATAAATCTCTTAACTTTTTTCGCATCAATCTAAAACAGATGATCTTTCTTGTTATGATCTCATATTTCCGACAAATACTTGTAATATGATCTTCTTGTTCCTTGAACTTCCTTGATTGCTTATTGGTGGATTTTCCAATGCTGATGCAGTGGAACGGTTTTCTCTTGGAGTGAGAAATCCCACCGCTTTCCTTGCAGGGGCTCTGGTGAGTGATCTTTTTCTTTTTTCCTTCTTAACATGCTGAGTATTATATAGCTTAACACCCTTTTCTGCTCTTTTGTTCCCTCTTTTGGGTACTACACGTTTGGTGGTACGATATGCTTACCCATAAAACAAAGAGGTCTTAGTTAAGCAAGGAATGTTAACTATCACATATTTCATTGATAATGTCTAAAACCTAGCCTTCAATGCTTAGAAGTTCTGATAATCTCATTCCATTGCTTGAAACGATTGACATACTTAGTGAAAAAGTCCTGCTTTGAAAACACAAGAAGGATAAACCCAGCGACCCTCAGTTATGAAGTTTGTATGCTATTTCTAAACCTAGTCTGATTAGAAATTCAATCACTCAGAATGCGATTCCTGCATGACTAGCTCATAATCTCTAATACATTTTTGTATAATTTTCGATTTCTTTTGTCCTACTCCTACATAAAATCGCTAGCAAAAAGGGAAAGCACCCGCTGCAATCCACCACTAGGTCCGTGTACTCCAGCTCACGGAGGGGCTAACTGATTATGTAGAACTGAAAATAAGTGGTCCTTGGTTTCCGTATTCTTGAATTAGCCTATCAGGTGCCCTATTTTGCATGTTCATCTCAATAAAGTTGATTATAACATAAGAGAGATAAAGTGGAACCTTGGTTGGGCATCTTCTCTCACCAAAAGGTTTTTCCAATCAAATCTGGAGCTTTGCCTGCACTTCATGCATTGGCAACTTAAAATTTGCCTAATCTTAGCAATTAGGGAAAGAATGATACAGCAGCATCTATCAATTTGGTGTCCTCAGTCTGTTCTTCCTTCTTGACCATTTCTAACCATTTTAGGTTCATTGTATTAGTAATAGCATTTTGTTTCTAATAGTGTTATCCTTAGATATTCATTTACCTTTCTCCTACAAAATGGTATGACTATTAATGGTCCATCTCAAGATTCTTATGATGGTTATGTGATAGCTATTACCCCATGAACAAATGGTGAACAACTCAATGAATTCTCCCATATTAAACAGATAGTTATACTGTTACAATCATTCATCTGCTCATATCTATTGCAGGATATATCACCAGAGTATTTCTTTGCCGGTGTCTGTTGCGGTGGCTTGATAACTCTTCCAATTCAGGTAAGTCTTGTGCTTGAGAAACAACAGATTTACAGTTTTTAAGTGTGCGTGCTGTTCATGCTCTTATCTCTTTTCCTTTTCTCCAAAATGCAGTTGACAATTGGATTTTTACTAAGAGAGCGTCCTGTATTTGCAGTTGCAACTGTTGCTACTGTACTGGTAAAGCATAAATTTTGCTCTGCTCAATTTTGCATTTATTACCACAGAGTCAAAGAATCCAATTCCGGTTCCTACTAATTGTGCAGGGAATCTGGACAGTATTCCCCTATGCAGTGGCTGCTTGTACAGCATTATTCCTATATCTACGGCGCCAGTTTTCCGGTTAGGCCAACTCATAACTTTTCTGATTGGTTTCCCAAGTCATAAACTACGAGGACTGGAGGCGAGCACATGACTGCTCGCGCTGGTGCAAGCCTGGATGGATGATGCCACTATTTGTTGAAAATCACCCACATTTCTAGTATCTTCCAAATCAAACTGATTGAAAATCGTCGGAGATATTCTAGAATGATAAACTAATGTATAATTGATTAATGATTTGCGCATGGGCACTATTCTTTATTCTCAACGAGAATGTTTAACTCTTTAAGACGAGAAATCTTTTTCAAAGGGAGGGGGGAAAAAGAAAAAGAATGGGTAAAGGCTGCAAAATTAGCTTCAAGATTGTCTGTGTAAATTTATTAAGAATTGAAGATTAAATGGAACCAAAGAGTATGGCCTGGTGGTCAATGAAATGGGTTCCCTTGGAGATCAGGTTCACATTCCAGTGGAGACAAAAAACACTAGGTGATTATTTTCCATATGCCTACAAATTGGTCCAGATACACTGTTAATATTTAATTTTTTTTTGAAGATTTTGTGATACAGGCAAGATTTTGGGAACTTCTTTTGCAGATATTGTGATAAGAATTTGGAAACAAGGCATTTTAAATAAACAAGTTCTAAGCGTATGTAATTAAGGGTGGATTTGGGGGAGGGAGACCCTTAAATGTGAGATACATATCAATAACTTAAAAACATTTTCAAGCTCACATTTAAAACTTCGCGCATAAATTACTGAGACGAGCTCATATATTTGCAAATTCCGAGCTGCATTAGTGAAGACATAAATTATCAATTGGCAAGTCCTTCAGATGCTAAATAGGAAAGTTGAATGCTGTATGCATCTTTGAGCTCAGCCAATACTTCTGCAATACTTGGCCTCCTCAATGCATCCCTCTCCACTGACCTAGAGGCGATTAAAGCCGCTCTTCGCATGCTCTCCGTATCAAAAGTTCCTTTTATGCTCTCATCTACTATCTCAAATGCACCTGCCTGCAAGTATGGCTTTGCCTGAAATTCACAATTGATATACAACAGATGAGTATTGTTGGAACTCAATGAAATGCTTTGTATTATATTCCTTGTATAACACATTATAAGACTTGTATTTACCCATAGAACCAAGTTAAAGGAATCTGGAGAGCCCGAGTGACTAAGTGGTTCTCGACCACAGATAAGTTCAAGAAGAACGACTCCAAAACTGTAGATGTCACTCTTTTCAGTGAGTTGTCGAGTGGAATAGTATCTGTGGACAAGTAACAATAGAGGTTTAGGATTTTGAAGTATCAAAATTGATACATTGAGATTAGTATCTTGAAGCTTACTCGGGATCAAGATAGCCAGCAGTGCCTTTGACAACAGTACTAACATGAGTTGCATCTGATTGACTCACTTGCTTAGAAAGGCCAAAGTCAGATACCTTAGCATTCATGTCTGCATCCAGAAGTATGTTGCTGCTCTTCACATCACGGTGTATGATTCTTGGCTCAGTTCCATTGTGCAAGTAATCCAAACCTTCGAAAGTTATAATCAACTATTATAAACTATGTAAAACTTATGCTCCATCATACAGCTATAAGTATCTGCAGAGGGAGCAAAATCTACAAAGCAACTTATTGCTCTGGGCTATATGGATCTTTTGGTTGTAGAAAACCAAGCATTTTGTCACACAACTGAGATGAACTCACAGAACTACTTCAAGTATTTGTTTTTTCACAATGTATGAGGAAAAAAGAAGAGCAAAACAATGTTTCCTTCTTCTGTACAGAAAAAATTGTTGTTGATGGTAGTTCTCCATTGGAAGACAAGTTAGTAATTATCATGTCTCACTTGTACACATACCTTTTGCAGCATCAACTGCTATTTTCAATCTGCGCACCCAGCTTAGTGTCAATTTCTTGCTCATTGCTCCTGAAACAGTTATTAAGTGTTAGTTAACTTTACGAGACGAAGCAGGTGGTGGGTTTAGAGTGTGTTATATGGGTGAGATCATGCGTGACATACCGTAGAGGTTATCAGCCAGTGATCCTCCAGGTAAATACTCATAAACTAGAATTTGCTGTTTCGATTCATGGCAGAATCCTTCTAATGACACAAGATTTGGATGACTGATATGTGATAGAAGGGACACCTAGAGAGATAATAAAGAAGCTGTTGAGTCTTTTTTTCTTTATAGACTGAATCTGAACTAGCACAAGTTTAGTGACAAACCTCATTGATAAAAGAATCGGCACCTAGTTGAGTTTTATCGAATCGAACTTTAACAGCAACTTGTTTACCATCAGGAAGCTTCCCAAGATAAACAGATCCGAAACTACCGCGACCAATAACCTCTTTGAAGTTGTTTGTAGCAGCTTTTATTTCTTTGTATGAAAAGACTTTTGCAGCATTCCAGTTTTTCATTTCTGCTGCAGTTCCTAAAATTAGAAAATAGTTCCTGCTTAGAAGTAGATTTATCAATATTCTGCTGATAAAGAAAAGTTTGACTTTTTCATACTTGATGCATATGTATCTCCACTTTTTCTTCTCCTCATGTACAAGAATACTGATACTATAAAGATAAGGAATAGAGCAAATATAGCTACTCCAACTGCACCAAGTATAATTGCTAATCGGTTATGGCTCTTGCGTTTTGTGGGGGTAAATACAGTGACTTGTGGTGTCTCAATTGTAGGATTTCTTGAGAAGTCATTGCATAAAGACATAGTGAAGGAAAGACATAGATTTCCCGATGATCTGCAAAATAGGGGGAAAAAGATAAATCGAGAAACTGACATGAGAAGCAATGAAAAACGACGTTTTCAATTTCATACAGGACTTCTAAACTCTCTCTGTTCAAAGCTCGTGGCAGCGGGCCTTGCAGCTTATTGTTCTCTAGGTTCCTGAATGTTGCAGAGAGGTAAATCAGTATAATTCATCAGGTGAAGTACTTTAAGCAGTTCTAAAATGCCAGTATATATTATCCTCACTCACAGTAAGTGGAGGTTCTTCAGTTCTCCAACGCTATCGGGTACTGTTCCCTGCAGACTATTGTTATGCAAGTCCCTTCAACAGAAAATACATCAGTTTTAAGGACTATCTTCTTTCCCACCATTGAACAATAGTAGCAACAAGTAAGCAGTGAGACTTACAAAACTTGAAGGTTTATCAAGTCTTCTAACTCAGAACCAAAAGCTGTAAGTTGATTGAAGCTCAAGTTCCTGCATCATTGAGCACAAAACTTATTTTAGGCAATGGTCTCTAAAATACATTAACATAACATGGTAATTCCTCATCACAAGTATTACAGCTTCTTAAGATGTTGCAGGCTGCCGATATTTTGTATCTCTCCAGCAAGTGAAGTGTTATGCAAATCCCTGCAACAAGTAGAACCTCAAATAAGTAAAACTCAACATAGCTAAACAGTGGGTTATTAAGTGATAAGTTGTTAAGATTAATGACTCTTACAGGGATTTCAGATCCAGTAAATCACCAAACGTTGGGCTGATTGACCTCAAGTCTACATCAGAGAGCTCCCTATACAAAGTCTAACTTTAATATGTTCTGCTCTTAACAGAAGTAAGACCAAGAGATACAACAACAACAACAACAACAACAACAACAACCCAGTAAAATCCCACTAGTGCGGTCTGGGGAGGGTAGTGTGTACGCAGACCTTACCCCTACCCGAAGGAGTAGAGAGGCAAAGACCAAAAGATAACGAAAGGAAAATAAAGTTCTTGGGAAAGCTTTGACATACAATGAAGTTACCAAGTTGCCTTCACATTCTATGTGTTCCCATGATTTAGGAGAGCACGGATCGTCCTCCCAATCAAGATCTAGACCAGTTGACTGCTGAATAACTTGTAGGGCTGAAACTGCAAAGATTAAACAATGTGAAAATTTGGTGCAATTGGTTCTAACAGACTACTTCGAAGATCATAGATATCGAAAAGTCAATAAAACAATAATAGAACCTGTGGTTGAAGAAGTTTCTAAGGGAATTTCCAGGATCTCATAGACCTCAAGAGCATTGATTATGGGATAGTAGTGAACAGTCTTCAATGTGATGTTCAAGCTATCAATTCCTTTCATTGTAAAGAACAGACTACTGACTTCCCATCGATTCACTGTGTAGTTTGATCGAACAATATAACCATTTATGAGTATATCGAATGAAGGTGAGACAGGCAAAATCCCAGCAAAGTAAAGAACAATATGGTAATCTCCTTCATGATCAATAGGAAAGTTATATGTCATGTCGTTCCGACGTGCCAAAACTCTTCCAGTTTGAAGAACAGCTGCAGGAGGGCTCTCTTTCAGAACTGACATATTGAAATTGGCTTGAATATCAAAACCAGAAGACACATGAAATGGACTGAAATCTTCATCAGCATCCCAAATTCTATCATACTGATCAATCGGGTACCTTTTACATAGCACGAAAAGCATCACATTTAAACAGAAAGTAAGGACTAAACAATCGATAGTACATTAACATAATAGACAAGTGAGAGTTTTGACCTTAAGGACCAATTATAACCACAATTGACACGATAACATTTCCTCAACAACTTGTTTGGAAAATCTCCCAAGGCATCGATGTAAGCTCCTTGAGGAAGTGGCCTAAGTTCAAGGGATGAAATGACTGGAAATCCACCATTTGTAAGAGAGTGAAAACATAAAGACACAATGTCTTTATCAACTGTCCATATGAACTCTTCGATCCACGGATCGGTGTTACTAAGATTGACTGTGGTTGTGATAGCCCTCCCAAGAGAAACAGAGAATGCAGGGGGTTTATTAAGTCCATCATAATTCTTATACACAAACTGAGTCCTCACAAGAACCAAGGATGATACATTTTTCACTGGTAGCTTGTAACATTTTCTAAGCGTAGAATCAGGAAAGAACCTAACTGGGAGAGTAGATGGAGAGGATCCCTCTTGAAAATGGACAGTGGTGATGTCGCCAGCTGAGATATAGGCACCATCTGGTGTCCATGTAATGTTGGAGGAATCAACATAGGTAGTACTTCCACCACAAGACAAGCTCAAAAATCCTGCATATTTTCACAACATAAGCAAGAGTTCATCTCAAAACATTTATTTATTTGTGGAGAAAGATTGTAATACTAAAAAGTTCTAAACTAACAGCAGCCTACTGCGTAATAGTTAAGAAAATGGACCGGCCTAATTCAAACCCAAAAGCTAGTTCATAAAGAAGTGATTGTCTAAGAATATATAAGAAAATAAACACATACTTTCAGTCAATGTGAGACTCTAACGGCCCCACATGCCCAAAGGTGAACATCTGGAACATAGACAACATAAGATGGAAGTCCGACACGAGTAAACAAAAAATATGGATGATTTGGCTCTGATACCACGTTAAAGATAGACGTTGAGCCTAACTCATGTTAATGTTAACTCATTATATGAGAATTACCGAAAATTATG